CCCCCGGTGCCGCCCCCCCGGCCGCCCCCGCTGCTCCGTCCGGCTCTGGGCAGGGAGGTGCCGCTTCCCACCCTCAGCGGCGAGGGGCGCGTTATCTGCGTTCTCTCTTGCTTTTTCCAGCCGGCCGCCAGAGCGGATGGGCCGGCCTGCTGTGTCCGGTGCGGTTGTACGAGAGCAGAAAGGGACAAAATAACCAGGTTCGGGGGTTTCTGCTGCTTTCTCCGGCGTGTTCGTCAGATGCCGCAGGCACCGGGGGGACGCGGGGCCCAGCAGCCCTGTGCTGGCGTGGGGGGCAGCGAGCGGAGCCTCCCCGCGCTGATGTGCCGCGGGCAGCCCGGGTCAGCTCTGAGGTGCGGGGAAATCAGCCGCGGTAGGAGGCAGAGCCCACAAAGAGAAGACCCTGTTTCTCATTACTGGTTTCCCGAGCTTTTATGTAACCCTTATGTTTCACTTTTAAAAATAGAAAGACACTTTCCCTGCGTTGTGTGTTGCAGGAGATAGTCTCTCCTTCAAGAAAGAAACTCTCCTTCCTTCGACTGGGAATAAAGCAAACAAGGAAAACAAACCAATGAGCAGGCATACATCCCTCTTCATCCACCTCACTTCTCTCTCTGGAGAGGACAAGATGCTTAGGGCTTTAATTGCAGCAAGGGAGGTTTGAATTGGACGTAAGAAAAACTTTTTAACCATGAAGACAGTGAAACACCGGAACAGATTGCTTGGGGAGATTGTGGCAGTCCCGTCACTGGAGGAGTTTAAAATTAAGATAAGCAGATGTATGGATGTCTGCTGAAAGTGCTCTGGGTACCGCTGATGCTCTCCTGGAGCAGGGGATGACTCGATGCCCTCCTGGAGCCCCTTCCAGCCCTGTCCTCTGCGTTTCCATGGCCAGCACGAGGAACACGGTGCCCTTTCCCACTGTAATTGTGAACTCTTTTTCACCCTGGACACTTGCCACTTCCCTCCTCCTTGCCGAGCCTCTGTGCCAGCACCGTTAGCACAAGTTGTTATTGAAGAAAAAATACAGGCTCCAGCATTCATCACCAGCAGCACAACCTGTCGGTGGATTGCTGTTCGACATCGTAGCACTTGCAGCCTCCTAAATCTCACAGCAAAGCCTCTGCTGGAGGAATGTATCTGGGTTATGTTCTCTGTGGTGTCATTTGCGGCCCTGGGATGCTGTCAAACCTCTAGACCCAGAGCAATGTGGGGGCTGCCTGCTAGAGAAGATAAGCTTCACCTGCTGCCATCCAGCTGCTGGTAATTTTTTCCACTGGGCAGCAATGACATTCCACCTTGAAGACAGGACACAGTGCTGCCAATTGAGCTCCTGTTGGTTCCATTACAAAGGAAGGGGATCTTACAGTGATCACATCACCATGTGTCTGTTACACATCTTTTAGGTGGGGTTTGGGGCCTCCAGTGCCTTGCAGATTAAATTCTGGACTCCCCAGCTAATATCCAGAGCATTAAGCTGATGCTGTAGCATGTTATCCAAAGCCAGCTGCTCTGTGCAGACGTTGGGCCAACATGCCAGTGCAGGTTCAAGCATGCAAAACCCTGGGAGATGCTCTCCAGCCATGGGTAGAGATAGGCACAAGCTACTTGCATAGTTTCCTTTAGCAGCAGCATTGATCTTAGATGGTCGTGGACTAATAAATCCTCCACAGTTTGTTTCCAAACGTGTCTGCGATGACAGCCAGCAGTGCTTGGGCAGAGATGGTAGAGCACGACTGTCTCAAAGTGCTACCTACGTCGGGAGGGGGTCTGTGGATGGGATCTTTGGATTTGCTTTGACCTCATTCAGGTCACAGGCTCCTGTGGAATAAATGCTGCACCAAAGGAACGAGGCTAGCAGGATCCACCTCCTAGTAAGAAACCCCCTAGTAACAAATCCAGCGGTGATGAAACCAGGACTGTGCAGCAGTAATGCACACAGCCCTGTGTTCTGAATCGGGTCGTAGGCTTCATAATTAAGATGGTGCTGAAATCAGCCTGCTCTGTGGTCTTACTGCTCACGCGTTTCTTTTTCCTGCATGCAGTGAGCACGGGGGCATGAGCGAGACTGAACTGTGTCACATCGCTGTTGTGCAGGGCAGTCCCTCCTGAGGAGGAGGAAAGTTTCACGCTTTCCCACTGGGAAGCTCCCTCAGTTCAACCTTTGTCTTTCCCCCGACTTCGCTGTGCTTGAGAAAGGTCAGGCTGGAGCCGCAGGATCAGGCCAGGCAAGATAATGTACTTTATCATTGATTTCCAGTGAGAAGTTGCGTTATGAGATTAAATGTCTCATTTTTATTGCATGGGGAGGCAGAGAAAGCAAGAGGTCTGAAAATAAAATAGCAGTCGAAGTGATGTGTTTCTGCTGGAAGGTGCTTGTGACCGGGAACGGACATACTTTGTTTGTTCAGTCCTTTGGAGGTGAACTTTGAGAAGCCACTTCCTTCTGAGGTTGGTAAACAAAGTCAAACCTCATCTGTGTTTAAACCAGTGACTAATTAATGTGTTTAATTGGCCTGCATCTACTAATTCCAGGCTGGCAGGGAATTTATTAAAAAGCTTTTCTAATTTTAATGGATTGACATAAGCAAAGCTGCTTAACCATCTCAGATGAAAGATGCTAAACAGGGACCCGCAGTGTGGGTCTGTTTGAGTCGGTCCCATTGCCTGACGTACGTGGGGAGAGGTGGGAGCATCCCACCAGCTTTGCTCAAGCTGCTTTGGGCATTGATGCTGCCTTGGTCTGTGCAGACAGCTCCTGGTCCCCAAGCAAAGGGGTCAACATTAGCAGGACGTACGGCAGTGGCTGCCGTCGCACCTCGGGCTGCGCTGCCCACCTACCCACGGGCGGCAGCCAGGGCTGAGGACGGGCTCTGGCAGGCGTCAGCCCCCTCCCCGGGTTTCGACCACGAGGTGCTCCAGCTCTCCGGGCACTTGGGGACAATCCTGGCGTGCTCTGCTTCTTTTGGTTATTTTAAACACCAAATAGATGTTTTCTTTTGCCTTAGTAAAAGCATCAGCTATTCTGGCTTTAATGCCATTTAATACCAAGATTATAGCCTCACAATGCGATGGGATATTTTTAAAGCAACGGATTAGTTAATTTCTGAAAAGGGTTAGATACTGAGATATGAATAACAACCAGCTGCAGCTGCCCAGATGAGAGTGGGACTCCAAGCACTGCTCGGCTGTCCCAGGCCAGGCGGCACCGTGAGCCGGGCACAGGGAGCAATCCCTCCTCTCCGCGCAAGGGGCCACAGCGATGCCCTCTTCTGCACGCACAGGGTCCCTGACTGGATCCAGGCTGGACATAGCAGCGTTTGCTTCTCCCCCATGATTCCGTAAACCTTCCTGTAAAATATCCTCTGTCCTACGGGCCACGCTCAGGGTTACTGCAGGCTCAGAAGCCTCACTGCTTTCTCTCAGCTCTAGGATTTCCCTGCTGCCTCCCTCCCTTGACTCTTGTAGCTCGGACGGCTGCAGGCGCTTTGCTCTGTGTTGTAATCTGGAAGCTCAGCAAGAGAATTAATGAAGCGTTGGATATAAGATGGCTGCAAATGCAGATTGCCTCCGTGTGGCCACCATGGACGTGGCTTGCAGGTTTCAAACCCCAGGGCAGGTGGACACAGCTCCACCCACGTATGACTGTCTTCAACCACCTTGCCTAGTACTAGCCATGCTAAACCTCGGCCGTGCCTCCCCAGCCCATTAGTGAGCTTTCCCCCATTACCCTTCCTACCCAAAACGGGTCCTGCACAGCCCTGTCCTCCCCAGCCCTGCTCCCCCCGGCAGGCTGATCTGCTGGTGGTTGTACACGAAGCATACCTGGGCTGGAAATGCTGACAGTGCTCTTGACAGTTTATGGTCACAAACTCTATTTTCAGCCTAATAAGTTTTTTATACGCTTGGAAAGCTGTCAGTTGAACATCAGCCAGGCACAAAGTACCTGCCATAAAGTGCCTGGACCGCAACCAAATGGGAAAGGTGCTGCTCTGCTTTAGCAAGTTCTTGATCTCAGCCGCTTTAGTTGGTTCATTTCTTTGGTTTGAGGACCTTGGCTTTAATAATAAAATAATAAGATAAAATAATAATGCTCCTGCTTAATAATTTGTGGAAATATTTGCTGAGAACCGGTTAAATCAGAACTGGCAACCAGTTTGGATTGGGGCTTGGGGGTGGGAGGCTCTGCGGTACTGCTGCCGGTGCTGGGGTGGACTGGTCCCTGTGAAGAGCTGCTGGAGCCCAGTGACGAAGGAGAGAGGCTCTGGGAATGTGTCTGGAGAAAGGTCCCACTCCCTGGAAAAGTTAATCTGGAGATGAGCTGCCACGGCCATGACTCCAGACTCACCGTACAAACATGGTCACGTCAAACCCTCAGCCAAACGCAGAGCAGGGCCTGATCCTGAGCGTGCCTCTGCTCCCACCACGGCAGCGTCACGATGCTATAAATGACTTTCCTGCATCACAGCCCGCGGGGTTGCCAGGAAGGTCAAGGATGGGGGGCCAAAGGGTCTGGGAATGAATTGCAAATATGCGAGGCTCTTTCGGAGGGTGCCCCGGTGACAGCTTCACCCCTGTCCTGCAAGGCAGCCCCTGCCATGGGGGCACTGCACTGGAGGGACAGGAAAGGTCCTGAGCTGC